GATCTCTTCCGGCAGGCCTTCCCGGAATAGCTGTCGGCCCAAAAAAGAAGTGGGCCCCCATTTGTCTGACTCCTCTGTGATATTCTGTTTTAAATTATTATATTGTATTTTAATTCTCTTTGGTTTAATCTTATTTTAAGGGGACGGGTGGAGGGAGGTAGGGATTATGGGGAGAGATAATGTTTTAATGTTGTTCTGTTATAGATGCTGTTGTTCCCCGCCCCGATTGCTCTGCAGAGGGGCGGGCTACAAATTAAAATTATTATTATTATTATTATTATTATTATTATTATTATTATTATTATTATTATTATTACAAGGTTTATTTCCCGTTTATTTTCAGGATGCCTCATTTCCACTTTATTTTCGGTTTCTGGGCCACGTGTGATAACGCCTAATGTGTGTGAAAATCAACCCATTCACATTGTGCAATTAAAGCACTTTTACTCCACTTTAACTGCCATCCTATGGAATCCTGGGATTGGTAGTTTAAGGAGAGATTTTTGGAAATCTCAGTCAGAAAGCTTCGGTGCTACCTCAAACTGCAACCTCAGAATTCTGTAGGATGGCATCATGGCAATTAGGCTGCATCCACACTGCAGAATTAATGCTGTTTGACACCACTTTAACTGCCATGGCTCCATGCTATGGAATTCTGGAATTTGTAGTTTTGTGAGATATTTAGCCTTCTCTGTCAGAGAGCTATGGTACTGCAGAAAACAACAAATCCCAGGATTCCATAGGATGGAACGATGGCAGTTAAAGTGGGATCATAGCACTATAACTGTGTAGTGTGAATGGGTCCCTGGTACAGTGGGGCCTTTGGTATCTGCTGGGGTTTGGTTCCAGGACCCCCCCCATGGATACCAAAATCTGTGAATGCTCAACTCCCATTAAATACAATGGTGTAGTAAATTGGTGCCCCTTAAATAAAAAGGCAAAATTCAAAGCTGGTTTTTTGGAATAATTTTAAAAATATTTTCAAGCCATTGGTGTTTGAATCTGCGGAAGCAGAATCCATGAATACAGAGGGCCAAATGTATTCCTTGGTGGTCTCCCATCCAACTACTAACTAGGTCTGACCCTGCTTAGCTTCCAATCAGAAGGGATCTGGTGCCTTCAGGATTGGTGTTGTTATGTGCCTTCAAGTTGTTTCCGAGCAGTGACTATCACGGGGTTTTCTCGGTAAGCTTTGTTTACAGGGGGTGTGCCACTGCCTTCCCCTGAGGCTGAGAGGATGTGACTTGCTCAAGGTCACCCAATGGATGTCGTGGCCAACAGTGAATCGAACCCTGGTCTCCAGAGTCCTAGTCCAACGCTCAAACCACTATGCCACACTGGCTCTGGACTCAGGCTACTTACCAGCAAATCCTCACTTTTCCTTAGATGCTCCTCTTCCATTTCTTTCCTTTTCTCAGTCACACTGTCACACAGCATCTGAAAAGTCAGGGAAATGCTTTGAATATTTCCTTCAAGAATAGCCTTCAATATAAAAAACTGATTCTGAGAAAAGTGAAATGCAACATAGATTGAAAGTAAGCTAAGGACCTTTACAGACTGCCAGAAAAAATGCAGCTTGAGGCCACTTTAACTCTCCTGACTCAGTGCTAGGGAATCATGGGAACTGTATTTTTTTCTGGGACAGTGAGCCTTCTCTGTCAGAGAGCTCTGGTGCCACAATAAACTACTGTTCCCATGATTCCTTAGCACTGAGCCAGGACAGTTAAAGTGGCCTCAAGCTGCATTATTTCTGGCAGTCTGTATAGGCCCTAATACAAAATGTGAGGATAGTGAACACCAGCATCTTAACAATGAACACGGCTCTAGTAAATTGAACAAATAGTATTATTTTACACTACAGATGAGTCTTCATTATTCAAAGTGCTTGGGATCAGAAGGGTTTTGGATTTTGGATTATATATTTATCAATTTTGGATTTTGGAATATTTCTACATATAACGAGATATCCTGGAGATGGGACCCTTCATTTCATATACACCTTACACACAAAGTCTGGAGATAATTTTATACATAATCTTTTTAATAATTTTGCACATAAAACAAAGTTTAAGTACACTGAACCACCAGAAAGCAAAGATGTCACTGACTCAGCCAGTGTCTCAGCCAGTTTTGGATTTAGCAATATTTTGCATTTTGGAATTCTGGATAAGGGAGACACAAAATTGTTGCTGTGTGTCTTCAAAATTGTATCAAAATTGTTATATCAAAATTGTTGTTGTGTGTCTTCAAGCCATTTCCAACATATGGTGGCCCTAACGTGAATCTTATCACAGGGTTTTCTTGGCAAGATTTGTTCAGAGGGGGTTTGTCCTTGCCTCCCTCTGAGCTGAGAGAGTGTGACTTGCTCAAGGTCACCCAGTGGTTTTCCATGGCTGAGCCAGGATTTGAACCCTGGTCTCCAGAGTCATAGTCCAACACTCAAACCACTACACCAGACTGTATTTACAGTACTTTATATTATATTATATTATATGGCTGAATGGCTTGAGTCCAGACTATTTGAAGGACTGCGTCTCTTTATATGAGCCTGTTTTTGCTCTAAGACAGGGGTAGGCAACCTTTCCCCTTTAAGGGCTGAGGGACTTCAGCTCCCAGAAGCCTCAGCCATGTTGGCCAATAGTCTCATGTTGGCCAATAGCTCCTGGGATTCTGGGAGTTGAAGTCCCTCGGCCCTTCAAGGGAAAAGGTTGCCTACCCCTGCTCTAAGATATTCAGGAGAAGCTCTTCTCTCTGTCTCACCACCTTCTCAGGTTCAATTGTGGGAATAAAAGAGAGGGCCTTCTTGGTGGCTGCTCCCAGATTTTGGAACTTCCTCCCAGCAAATGAAAGCTTTCCTATTCCATCTGACTTTTATGAACTGACTGTGATGGGCTTTTTATGATAACTGTTTAACATTGTCTTTTAAAGATTTAAATGCTTTAAATTTTATACATTGTTTAATTGTTGTTGTTTTTTAATTTCACACACATGCACATACGTTTTTGAATGTTTTTAAGATATACTGTTTTTAATAATTTTTAAGCCAACTTGAGTCCCGTTATTGGGGGAGAGCCAGGCTATATAAGTCAATAAAATAATAGTAATTAACAACAACAGCATCAGACGGTGGGATCACTAGGGTTGGCGTACCCGGTGCCATAACTCTTCGTGTCACCCCACACATCAACTTCTTCCCATTACACACCGTACAGAATCCTTTGTAACGCTTTTTGGGCTAAGGTTACTCATAAATAGTAATTCACAAAATGTAATGACAAGAGTTGTGATATAAACAACTGGCAGCATTAAAATTATAACTTTAAATTCCAATATCATATGCATAACCTAAATGTATTTGTACATAGCTTTGTGTGGCTAAAGCAAAGAATGTCTTTGCTTATTGTATTGATGTGTATTGTGTTTTAAGCTAATTTTAATGTATAAT